TGGACATGGATCCATTTGTAAAACAGTTATAGAGATGAAAATAGTGCTGGGTAAGTTCGAGAGGATGAATGAAAAATAAAGTCCGCTGTACAAAACACTCTTTCATTTATACTTTCTAGCAAATGGGACGCTGATAAAATGCACACCATTGACGAATGATTCGTATAGTGAAGTATTTTTTAGTGTCATCGGTGGCTATGGCGGACTGGGTGTGATTGTTGAAGTAACATCACAGTTAACAAATAATGTCAAATTGGAACGAGTGATACAAATAATGTCTTTGAATGAATATGAAATGTTCTTTCGACGAGAAATTCGTCAGAATCAAAGCATTCAACTGCACAATGCTAACATCGAACTTTTGCCACATGTAGTCTCAATGTGGCGAAGAATACCGTGAGTGAGACCGTTGGGATAGAAAACAACCATAACCACTCTATGAAAGACCAGTTGAAGTACAAAGCAAGAAACCCTTCTGTTCTTCTTTTCGTCAAGTTGGAGACTCGAAATCTTTTTAAAATTTTTTCTTTGAGGTACTATTGCATCTTTCTTTCAAAAATACTTGACCAGCAGTTGTAATTTGCGAAACCGAAAAAAAGCAACAGCTGAAAATCACTTCTAGAGTCCTGAAAATAATTAAAATTGTAGGGAGGAATGAATACATCTTCGTAGTGCCACCAAATTTCGATGCTGGTCCGTATTCGTACTCACACCTCGTTGCCTCGCTATAGAAATAATACTATATAGCAATGGCAAAAATTCTTTTGCGTCCTTAAAAAAAACTAGAAAAATGCCACGCTTGATGAGAAACAGACTGAGAGAAACTCGATTAAAGAATAAAAAGGTGCGAATGTTCAGTTTATGATTCATACAATGCGAAAATTGTGCTGAAAAATACGGTTTTTTTGCTTTTGTTCCTCAGATAAAAATCGCCTACACGATCGATCTCTGTCCAACAACATTTCTGATGCATGACTCTATTCAGAAACGTGTTTTTATCTTTTGCTTTATATACCAAGAGATTTCATCATTATGTATTGTCGTTTCGTAGGACTTAAAGTTTTCCGAAACGCTCTTCGAACCTCAGTAAAAATTTCGTTCTCCATTGCTTGTCTCATTTTCAGTTTAATAAACATAGCTGTTGACAAGATTGTAGCAATGACTGACGTAACATTCGACAATATCAATATACGTGTAGTATCATACTTAAAAACTAAGAAACCCTTGACGGTAACCGAGTGTATTCAATTCAATCGAAATAGAAAATATGGTTTCCAAAATCTTCTTCATGGGTGAGTTCAACGTTTTTGTAACTATCAAGGTCAGCTAAAATCCCTTTCTCTTATCGATCTAGTGTCATATCAAATACGGGTAAAACTGGTCATTGGCTTCGACATCACTTTATCGATCCTCTATTTATCTATAAGGCGAATGCTTTAGTTGTAGTCAATCGAAACTATGAAGCAACTTATACGATTCATGATTTGGAACCAATGACACGTTTTCTACGCACCTACGCCTTACAGGAATATTTTTTACCACTAGCAAATTTAAAATCGTTCGCGCTTGAAATGCTAAAAGTTTTTAAAAAGTATAAAGTCAATGTTATCAATGTTTCCATCAGACATGCACTACAGGTAAAATATTTGTCTTGTTTGATAACAAACAACATATTTTTTACTCTTTCTCTACTTTCTGACTGCAGGACGATCCACGTCTGCTGCTCTCTTGGGCACCTAATTCTGAAATGTTTGCATTTGTAATTTATTACAGTCAGTTGACAACAACAGGTGCACAAACAGAAGTAGGAAAGTGGACACGTGAACTGATTGATCTAACTGTGATAAAGAACGGTGGAACGTACTATTTACCATATCAATTGCACGCAACGAAAGAACAGTTTTATAAAGCTTACCCGCGTGTAAATCAGTGGCTTGAACAAAAGAAGCATCTCGATCCTGAGAATATCTTTAGAAATATGTTCTGGCTAAAGTACGGACAAAACTCAATGAATGAGAAAAAGGGACTTGTTCAATAACAGTAATGAGTTTTTTCCTATTTGAAATTACAATTTCGGTCAAAGCTCGTTATGATCGTCAGTCTTCTGAAGACTTTTTTTTGATGTTTCTATAAAACTAATAAGACCATTTCCAAACAAATGTTGTGCGATACAAAGACGAAGAAGATGACTTGAAGAATAAGCAGTCATGATCGATTTCGACCTTGCTTAAGGGTCTCATTAGATAGCATAATTTTAATACTGTAGCTCCTCTATTAAAAGGAGGCCGATTACAGTTTCATGGTCATTTTATGATGATGAATTTGAATAAAGCCATCTGATGAGTTCCTTAAACAAGGTTGAAATCGGTCATGACTGCTTATTCTGAGTGCACTCGAGCAAGAATTTCAAAAAAGAACAAACTGCAACGTGCGCATTTTCCTATTTAAAACAAAGTGCACGTGCATTTCATTTCCGTTTGTGGCGTTCATCGTGGGTGTGGGTGTGAGGGGTGGGGGGAGGGGGGGGGCGTGTAGGTGTGGGGTGTGGTCACATCCACACTCACACCCGTCAAAAAAGCGTTTCATGGTTACATGGGTTCGAGATCGAAACGAACAGTGCATGATACATATTTACCACGTAAGGTTGAAGACAATGCTTCATATTTCTTAAATTCGAAATAGAAAGACTTACTATTCGCTTCGATGTAGTAGACATCGATGCGTTCCCGTTGAACATTAAAATCGTCATGAGAACTACCGGTTAAATCGTTACCATGTTCGGTCGGGTGTGAATGTGGGTGCAGGTCTTTTCTTCTTTTCTCCTCTCTTCTCTGACGCAACCACACCCTCGGAATCAAATAGAAATGTTATCATTGAACGATAACACAAGCAAAGTGCAATACAAGGAGAATCAAATGTTTCGCAAAAATCGCAGAGCAACAATTTTTCCGTTTTGACTAAAATCATCGATTAGCAATCTTATGTCATTTGTGGGCTAAATATTGATTAGTTCTACATAAAAGATCGAATTTCTGAGAAATAATAATGAAATACGACATATACTCTAACTTATCAGAAAATTTTTAAACAAATTTTCTGCAACAAATCAGGTCAACAAATATGTGTTCAGAGTGAGTATGGCTGTGGTTATGCAAGTATTCTCTCCATTCATACTTACATCCACCCTCGTCTGTGCGAATTTAGTTTGTAATCATTAACCGTACATTTGATTCTTTGCTTGTGTTTGATAAACATAATGTTCAGGCTATTTACATCAATGTAGCATTCATACTTTTCACTATAGGTCTGTATAAGAATCTTTGTTCATTAATTACTTTTATACGTTTTTGACCACGACAATTTGATGTCGATAACTGTCTCTTTGCTATGACTATTCTCAATTAATGTGCTTTACTCTATCTATACATTAAACTTCTACATATATTCTTGGGATCAGCATTTGGATAGACAAATGAAACACCATGCAAAATAATACATTATCTCTTGTCAGTATTTGTACGATCAACTTATTGGAGTACACTTTAGTATTATGTTGTCCTATTCTTTATTTAATTTATTTCGATCGCTCGTCTTATTGTTTTGGTAGCTCGACAACGAATGGAAATGATCAAAAATGAGACAACACCATAGGAAACTTTAAAAAAGTAAATACTTGGTACAAAAAACTTCTATACGATTTCAAACATTATTGTATTATCTGCAATATCTCAAACTATTCTTTCATTTTGTTTAACATGTAAACAATCAAATGGTTGGCAACAGTATATTCTTCTTGTCGTTTATCTTCTGTCGCATGTACTAGTTTCTTTATGCACGTTATGCTACTAAATGTTTACAAAAATTAATGCTATGAAACTTCTTTTGTCAAGAAACTTTCAACATACCATTGAAAATTGACGTCTAATAATAAACTTTGATTGGTTTTATAGAACAAACAAAACTGACGTTAATCAACAAGAGAAACATGAAAATATCAGTTTTTTTATCACTATCATATAACTTTTCATATTGTTGAACAATACATATGATCTTATCATTGTCTAAATATATCTAAAAGAAATAATAATCAATCCATTTAGTTTTACCCCTAATTGGTATGTTTTTATTGAAAAGTTTAATAAAAATCTCTCATTAAGATATATACGAAAATTTTTTAATTTTATTATGAAACTTAATCATCTAAACAAAATTGGTTTCTTATTGTTTTCATTGTCATAAAATAATTATATTTTAAGACAAATGAATTACTCAAAGTACCGAAGATTTCAAGAGGAAACATGTTATTAAATACTAATCTGTATAATTATATTCTTGTATGTACTTTAGTGAGTTCTACTACAAAAAAAGGAACCTATTGAATATAAATACTTTCTTTTTCTGTTTTTTTTTTCTCAAAAAATCATATAATCTTATTTGGAAAGTATTAATAAGAAAAGAGTGCAAAAGAAGACGAAGTTGAAGATATAACAAACGATATATCGATTGTAAATCATCTCCATCCATTGGATAACTTTCACAATTGTTCGATCAATAATTTTTTTTTCTAAAATTACAAACATCTAATATACTTATCAATTCAACTGTTATTATTGTTTGATATGATATTCGACAATTGACTATGGTGAATTATCAGAAAACAAAGCATTTAAGCAGTTTCTATTTCTATGTATTGACAATCAAAATTTTCGATTATATTTATAACTTATAGAACACGATCGTTCTGTCCTTTACAAAGCTTGGATCACTAAATATTATATCATTCATTTGGTACCTAACGATAGATGAAAGATAGGAAAATACTCGAGAAAAAACAAACAAAAACAATGCTAATTGAATGTCTAATAATAATGTGAAAAAATAGAGAAAAGAATACTGATTACATGTTTTTCTTTCTTTTACGCATTTTTTTCCTGTAATTATCTGTGTGACACATGATTAAATGACGATAATTCGCACAAATTGTGCAAAAATACAAAAAGATGAAAAGTCTTCTATCTCTTCTATGTTCATGTGAACGAACCAATTTCAAACAGAGTAAGCCCTTATCTATACTAATATTGATCACAAAAAGACGAAGGGTACAATTAAGAAACAATATTTCACTGAAAATCTATAGAAACAGACATATTTCTCTTCTCTTCTGTGTGTGTACTTATACAAAACTTAATAAATCGATGAGATAATCGTTCCAACTATCAGATTATCTTTTGAATGAAAAACTAGGGAACTATAGATTATTACAACCTACAACTATCCTCGATCGTTGTGTGAAACGGTAATTTTTTTTTACTAAAGAACATTCGTTGGCAAAAATTACAGTCATAATTACTATTTTTTGATAAGGAATGTATTTGAAAAATGTTCAAACATTCGGGGTATGTCTGTTGTAAGCGATGAGAAATAGAAAAAAATATTTGACAAAAAAACAGTCTTTTGGCTGAAAAAAAATTGTTTTTTTTATTTAAAGCATCCTGAGATGGTCCATGAGCCACTCATATGATGGCATTATTCTAAATGAACACTATTGGTAATCTATAGTTCACTCTATAAAATCGTATCTCAATATTTTGTCTGCTTAGTATAAAATAAGAAAGTACATAAATAACTATTTTAGCTGATAAATTAAATAAAAATTCGAATAATGAAGAAGATGAATTGAAAACCATTGATTTTATTGAAAGTAGACAACAAGATTTTTCTCCAAAAATAACTTGGAAACATCTTTGGACATTTAATGAAGCAGAAAATGCATTATTAAAATCACCATTTATTAATATGCCTACTGAAATGATGTTGAAAATCTTTGAATTACTCTCAGTTCGTGATCTAGAAAATGTTTCATTAGTTTGTCGATATTTTAAAATGATTGTTGATCATGATATTATATGGAAAACAAGATGTAATAGTAAGTCAAATTTATCTACTTTATTTTTGAATTAATTTGAAAAATAAAATCGTATCAAAAAAAATAAATACCAAAGCATATAAACAAATTTATATTGATTGGATGTTTGAAAAATATCTTCGAAATCAAGAATTAAAAATACTTGAAAAACAATATCGAAAAATGAATATAGGTTTTGGATTGAAATATTCATCTTCTCGGTATTTTGTTCCATCAAAAAACAATGAATCATTTTCCCCTATTTTTGGATTTAATCGACATCCAAATTCATCATCAGATATGTAAGTCAAAGTTTGATTCATTCAAATTTTAATTATCTTCTACTTAGAACTATTCAATTATCAGTTAATATTGATAAAACTGTTTGTATTAATATTATTATTGGAAAAAGCTTCGAAATTTCAGAATAAATGGCGTAATTCAGTGATATTACAACAAATGATTAGACGATATTATCGATTTATGCAATTAAAAGTTTTATATCTTACAAAATTTCTTATTCCAACCATAGATATTGAAATAGTTTGACAAACACATCTTTTAAGATCTCTAATATATCAAGATGATTGTCTTCGATTATTTCATCAAATTATCGATCATTCATTATTATTAGATCACACTCAACAATCTTTTAAAGAACAAGCTTTTTTAGATACTTTACATTTATATGAAAAACATTTTCATGAACAATATTGTTCATTATCATTATATAAAAATGATAAAATATCTTCATCCTCATTTTGATAGATTTCAATGTTTAATTCCAATTTATTCTTATTGGGATAAAACATATTTTAAATTTTCATCATATCCTCTTAATGACTATGAAAATCCATTTTCATTTACAGAAGCTGATATTATACTTGATGCAAATTTTTTATAAATCAGATCGATTTTGAAATGTACATGGATTTTGAGAATATTAATCCATTAAAATCAATTGATTTCAATTCATCAGTAATCAAAGGATTAAAAAAATCTTATGAAAGATTTTTAGATATAACAGCAAAATATGCACCAACTAAACAATATGATCTCATTCATTCAACATATGCAGTAATAATTTATAATATTAATTATATTATAATAAGATTTTTATATTTAGATTGATATTATACGGCATGACCATCAATTGATAAATATCAAATAAAACAATCTTGTCAAAATCTTAATCGATATTGGAAAGAAGAATTTCAGAATGACATGTCAATAGATCATGTTGAATATGATTGAAATAATCAACTAGAAAATTGGTTTAATTAATATTGAAATTAAAACTGACTTTTATTTTCTAATTGTAATCAATTTTTTTTATTCATAAACTTAAATAAATATTTTGTCGAAATTTAGAATCTAGAAGTTAATTATTGGTAATGTTTTCTTTTTTTTTGTATTCAATCGACGACAATACAAACTATTGTCAAATCAATGTCATTGCGTTTCGAGGAATAAAAAGTTCATTAATTTATTTAAGAAAGTAACATTCAAAAAGCTACAGAAAAGGAATCAACGGTAAATCAGATTTATCTTTATAATATTTCTCAAACTAAAAAATCTAATGAAAGATGCCTAACTGTGCCTCCATTAGTCAGGTGTTATCTTCCATGATGTTTTCCGTGCGTCTACCATCAAGAAAATGATGAGTTTTCGCTATGTTAATATATCTACACTCTCACCCTTGATTGAGGAAATTCTTGATCGCAAAAAGTTTATGCCGAATCGAATTCACTACCTTTGACTGACTTCACTAGTTTACATTAGCTTCATATGATTCTAATGACACAGAGTTAGCTGTTTCTCCCTTGGAAATTGATGTGTGCGTGTGAAATGTAGGTGAAGAGAAGGTGTACGCACATACCTACACCTACATACCCTTGTTCAAATTGAATAATTTATCCAATGGTTCATGATGAATCTCTCAGCCTGGGGCGTGCCATAGAATGTGATGGGACGAAGCTTTTGAAAAGAATCCAATAAGACAAGACGGGTTAAAACTTTTTTCGGAGATATTCTATGAAAGAATTGCTGCATTTTTCTGTTAAACCATACTTTTTGAAGTAGATGGTTTGTTTTAACAGATTCGATTCTTTTTTAATAATCTTTTGTATATATCAATTGATATTCCTAAAGGATTTTTCAAAAAGAATATAAACTACTAAAACAAATTACGCATATCAAAAAGTATAGTTTTAACAAAAAAAATAAACCAATTCTCTCAAAGAATTTCATCGAAAAAAGTTTTAAGCTGTCTTATCTTATAGAATTTTTCGGAAAAGTGTCATCTCATCCCATCCCATGGGACGTCCTACGCGGAGCCTTGTTGTACAACGTGGCAGATAAAAATATCATTGTATCGATCATCCAATGATTTCTGTATGATTCTTTCAACGTACTATCTCGTATTCCATTTGTTCGTTTGTTTTATATTATTACATTGAAAAAAAACAAGCCGTTACAATTTTCTTTCGATTTGTTCTCTTGATTATGTCTGTTCGATCTCTCACTAAGTGCTACAAAGATAAGTATTAGAATAAATACTATCATACATTCCTTCTAAATACTTTTGAATACGTGTATCAGACAAATTTAACATTTTGTTTGAAGTTCATATACATGGAAGAATTGGATATTATTGACTATTAAAACATGTTAATAGGTAAAAAATGTAACGGATGGGGCAGGTAAAATGATCACACTGTGCATTTCAATTTTTAATCACTTAACACATTGTATTAAAGAGAACAAAATATATTACAAGTTGCAGCGTGAAAAACTCTACAATTTACACAAGACTACGTATTTTATGGTTGCACATTTTATTTTCAAAATGAATGAAACTCTGAGCAATCAATTTCCAACACTAGAAGTAAGGTCATTCAGTGGTCCACAATAGATTCGTTGTTTTATATTTCATTTCATCAACTAATATATCATAGTTTTCAACTTTATCTCATTGCATATTATTAGTAATTGCCTCTTACACGTAATAATCCAAAAGGTCTTTTCGAAGATCTTCGGATTTCATTTCTTTTTCTTAACTAACAGCACTTATACGGTTAGAATTTGCTATTGTGTAGCTGGTATATACTTCTAGCAATTAATATAAGAATAAATAGGGAAATATAATTGTAACACGTACCGATTGATCTCTAAATTCAGCCATTGGTTATGACTTTCGATATGATTCATTAAACGAAGGAATAAGAAAAGGAATTTATTGTGCACCAAAAAATGATCTTTTTCGTACAGTCGAAATTTAGTCACATAAAATGTTGTCCATTTGGAAAACAAAAAGTGCAACTATAAAATAAGCGATCTTTTGTAAATTTGTAGAGCTTTTCACGCTGCATCTTATGGTATTTTTTTGTTTTTTTAATACAACGTCCCTAGTGAAACTACTCATCAAGCGAGTACGACTTGCCAGCATGAGT